TACATTAAATAAATATTTTTGTTTGTTTTTGTTTTTCTTTATACGCAGATGGGTATAAGCCTACCGATGCTGATCGCCAACACCGCGTCATTAGACACGTGGAATACGGTCGGACAGTTTTCGCCACCAATAAGCTCTGATCGAAATCAATTACGTGTTCCCTTACCTATGTCCTTCCCGAGTTCACAAAGTGAACTGAACGCTTCAAGCAGCGCAACACGCAGCCTTTTCGGCGGCAGCAGTAACAGCGACATGACTGCCAGTCCACAGAAACCAATGGATACGTCCGATATTGAGGAGAGAGAAGAGATGTTGACAAAACGAGAGCGCGCTACACCATCGAGCGTGCACAATGCCAGTGCCGGAGGTGACAGTGGAGCGGTTGGTGGTAGTTCCGCTGGTGGTGGTGCAGCGTCAGGCAGCAACAACTCTGGCAGTGGACTTGCGAGAAACAGAAGTAGCGTCGGAGGTGGAGGTGCTGTCGAGCGAATCGAAGGAGGTTCTAGTCCCATACCAAACACAAATACAATGGAAATGCACGAAAAGCGTCGACGAACTACTCACGATCAAGAAGAATTAGACATTAAACGAGAATTGGTGGACTACTTTCACGCGCCTCATCCTCCCGCCCCACCCGATTCGCACCGATCGTACAGTTCCACCGACGATAATCGCTTAGGCGGTGTAGATCCGGATGATTTTGCTCAAGACTTACGCGTTAGCGCCGCTGCTGCTAAAGGCTTAGACTTTAGTCAGTTTGTATTGCCGCGCAACCTACGACGCTCCTCTGAATCTATTGATGAGAAGTTCGCTCCGCTAAATATGCGTAAACTAAATTCCGCTTCGACGAGTGCCGCGAGTGCGGGTCAAATGCTTATGAATTCATTATTATCCAATGAGAGTTTGTCAGAAGAGACCGGCACTACCGCGAGTGGGCGTATAAAGAGCGGATCCCAAGAGGCATCCACATCTGCCGCAGCTGCAGCGGCTGCCCTCTACGCTGAAAGTCTCAACAAGGACGACTGCGACTTTATCGGATCAAATGTCACGCTGAAGCTGAGATCGATGGATCGCACCCAACGAATCATAGCCGAGAAATTGATAAGTGAAGTACTTTTCTATGGACAGTTTAACGAGCTGGAACGCAGCGCACATATCCAACCCAAGTGACAACCGCTATTAAAGCTTCGCAAAGGTTTCTAAACCTAACGGCAGCACACATCTACATATGTACATATGTGTGTATGCATATTAGGGCGGGCCAATTTATATGGATAGATTTTGTTTTCGACATCGTTCCTAGCAAATGCGGATTGCTTATAAAATTCTAACAAAAAAAATTCCTCCAGATCATAACTCTAAAGTCAGTTTCGAGCCTGCGCAATTTTAAAAGAAGATATTTTTAATTGATTTGCTGGTTTTTTGATACAAAGAATTAATTTTTGATATCTAGTTCGTATTTAAAGAACCGCAAGATGGCGCTACAAATCAATATCCCAGTCCAGTTATTAGCTCAACAAATAGGGGTAAGCTTACAATAATTCGCATAAAGCTGAAAATTGCTACGAATGTTGCGAACACTATTATGAATGAAATGTCAAAAGTGTCCATCGATCCCATGTCTGCAGAAAAGGTATTCAAGGTCAAAGGTCACATAAATTTATTTACGGTAAGGTTTATCATAAAAATTGGTGAGCCGGAAGTGTAGATCATCATATAATTATCTATAAAGACTGTTATAACATTTTTCTTCCTAATGACTACGATTTCTGAAATATATGTAGCGATTCAAAATTGTAGAAGATGGTGTGTACTACTTCATAATATGCAAATCATAAATTTGTATAGAAACTTTTTGTATGTATCTCTACTTAAGTGCTCATAACTTATACGTTTATTACTCAATTTAGATGAGTAGGGCCTTATTGCATTAATGAAGAATCATGCTTTGACGTGCAGGAATCCAAAAGTCGATATTTTTACCGAAAGTTACTTTTTTTTAATTATGTAAAATTGTCGATTGTCAATGATTAGCTCCTAAATCCGCCAGCTATATAAAAGCAAATATACAATTAAATGAGTGCACTCCTTCACATCTCTAAAAACCGAAATTTGGCTATATCTCAAAAACTATTGCAGTTTATTATATTTTGACAGATTCAGCGGAAAATTTTACATGACAAGTAACCCCCACTTTTCTCCATGAGTACCTATGCGATTAATTTCATATATGTACCTCCGTACAGCTTCATGAACTTTTCCAGAGATATGCATTTTGTAAAACTCGGTTTGTATGGGTGGTGGCACGCCCCCTTTATATATCTAAATATTTTTCAGCCTATAACCATCCTTGGAAAATCTGCAGTAGGTGTCCAAAATTTCAAAAAAAATCGTAAGAGCCGTTCTGGATCTTTGTGAACAGTAAAAACAGCTTTAAAAATATACATATATGTTTATATTCGTATATATTTGCTTTGTATCGCCATCTTGCGGTTCTTTAAATAAAAAAAAAAATAGCGGCAATTAATGTTTTGTATCAAACAATTCCCAAGCACCAGTTTTTATAAAAAAAAACTTGTAACACTTTAGTAAATGCTAATCTGCATATTAACTTGTATTAATTAAAGATATCTTCTTTTAAAATTTCACCGGCTCCAAATTAATTTTAGAGCTATGATCTGAAGGACCTTTTTTCTTGGAATTTCATGTAGAATCCGAATCTGTCCGATGTCGAAAAAAATTGGACTTCCCTAATGTACATCGACCTTCACACATACCTTTCGTCGTTATCAATGCAAAAACCTATATTTGCCATTCTCTTGGAAACGCATTAAAGTATAAACAGAATCAAATCGCTCATAAAAACTCGTCGGAAGAATATTCGCTGCCGTATTAAAAGCGACAACGAAGTTCGTCTGGAAGTGTAGCTCTGTTTCCCCACTTTTCTAGCAGATAATTATCAGCAAAACCAGAATGATAAAATTTGGTGATTCATCTATGCGCTTTTGTATTTTTATATTTTTTATTTGTAATTCAATTGATGCGAATTTCGTTTCTCTTCCGTCTTACTTGGTGAAATGTTGCGGCGAATATCACCCGACGGCATCGCCGCTCCAACCAACGAAATTCGCACAGCGATTTGGTTCTGTTTATGCTTTTAGTTTGCTCTCAGACACACCCGCAATTGTAAAATTCGAAGTCAATTGAGGGATTCACAACAGTGTCGTAAGTATCGTATTGTTGTATGTCGTAAACTTTAAAAGCTTAAATAAATGTTTAGAGAACTTGAAACGACAACCAACTATTCTTTAACACCGCAAAAATTCTCAATATGACTTTGAGGGTACTTTGCGGACCTCCCTTTAATATATTTTTTAGGCGTTTAAAGTTTACGACACCGTTACGAATACTTACGAAACCGTTACGAATACTCCAAATATCTTACAAAAAATTTTTATTACTATATTAGCATCTCTGGAATAGTCCGGGCCTTTTGCATTGATTATCGCTATACACACCGGAAGAAACATTATCCGATATAATTTTTCTATCCAACAAATTTAACGCTCGAATAACACTAGTCTACAGGCAAAAAAGGTCAGAGCGCCATTCAAATTGCTGATTCCGGATATACCCTTCGTTTTTTCCCCAACTAAAAAAAGTATATCTGAAATCTGCGGTGGAGAACAGTTTTGGCATTTCCTGTAGACTTGTGTAATGTACCACAAACAACTGCTGTATGGTGTTAATGAATACATATATACATACATGCATGCACACATGCATATGTTTTCATGATGATTATACTTATATTATATACTCGTATTTGTATAATTTAAAAGCATCCATAAGAACGTTACACAAAAATCCTTACAGTACAAATTTCAATACATAATATATATATATATATGTACATACATATACACATCAACATTTCTGGGTTTGCAAATTTACAGCTGCATTTTCTTACTTGTTTATATTTGTTAATGTTTTCAGCGATTCTTCCGAAACAAAGAATTTTATGAAAAGTTCAATTTTAGCGTTCATAGTAGATTTGCATATACATATGTACATACATATAATAAACCATATTCGTAGTCCTTCCTTCGAATCGATGGACTACAATTTACCCCATTTCTGCTACATACTAGACGAAATGTGTCTTTTTCAAAAAATGCCCTATGACATACCCAGTAGGAAAATTTCAGGAGTTAAAAGCCCCTCCGAAAGACCTTCCTGAGAGTCAAGAGACCTGCCACTGTACATTCCTTTCTCCTTTCTGTTTTTGTATGGAGTGGCACAAATTGAAGGGCTTCTTCTTTCGCTACCCATGTAAGTTGCTTCTTTCATTGTAATGCTAAATAATATAATTTTATGCATTCGCGTAAAATGTAAATGGGATGGGCACTTCTAGAAGGCATGCAAGGAAGCACTTTTTTCAGCCCTTCTTGGGTACGACTTGAAATGACTATAAAATCTAATTTTGGAGGTTTTTCTTTTACCAAAAAGGGCAATAATTTAGCACTAAATCCATGGATATGGCGTAAATGATGTGTTTTTACCTATCTCCATTAGAAATGGTATTACTTTCATCCACAAATATTCAAATATATTTGCAAATCGGACTGATATTAGATCGCACAACTTTCGGAACGGGTCTGAATATCTGCTATTTATTTTAGGTATTCGTCGCACCCTCCTGTTTATTAGGTTATCTAGTTATTTGGGGTATTCACAACGGTTTCGTATCTCGACATACGCTATCGTTAACTTTAAAAGCTAAATAGCCCAGTTATGCATACTTGCACTGCTATACACCATTTTTAAGTAAAAATCTAAACTCAACAGAATTCTACATGTTAAGTGCTATGCGTTGGGTAACCGCTTACACGCAAAGCCCGTTGTAACAGATTCTTATGTGACAACTCTCATGCAAAGCTAAGTATGCATAACTGTTGTTCCCCAACAAACCATTTTTTAACACGGTGAAAATTCATAATATGACTGAATAAAAACATAATAACCGGATAACCCGATAACCGATAAAGCGTATCTATGCAAGTATGTATGTACATAATTATTATTATTTCATTAAAATTACAGTTAGGGCAATATGTAAGCTTGTTATGTGTGCTGTGTGCAATTCAATTGCTACCCAAATTTAAATTCTATTGCAATTTTCTCGGAATCAAAAACCCGAATTTGCAGTTTTCACAAAAACTACTTTCTGATTTTTGAACCCATCTGGGTTTTAATAGTCATCACTTATGTCAATTCTAACTTTATTAAAATCCAATAGTAAATTCCATCGTACAGTTTCATAAGTAAAAACACTATCAGCTGATTGCCAAAAAATGCGTACAGCTGAGATCAGCTGTTTTTTGGAATGTGCTCTTATCTTTTACAATTTCTTTCATTTCTATTACAATTTATTTTATTTCTATTACAATTTATTCAAAATACACTAACACACTGAACCAAAAACACCAATACACCAAACACACACCTACAGCGTGCCACAAAAAACGGTAAGAAGAAGAGTTACTTTACTTATGGAACTGTGCGATGGTTATTTCTACTAACCAGCCGACAGTCTTAAGTCTTAAGGGCCGACTATAATATGAATAAGCTGTCGTAACTGACTGTCAGATAATGAACGAAAAGCCTGTCGAACACATTTACAAGGTAGTGTAGACTTTTTAGTGGCTATATTTTACTTACATGTGTTCAGTATTGCAGTTTCCAAATTCAAAAAAAAATTACAAAACTTATATTAAACTAAACTAAAATTTCGGAGCACTTCAAAATCAACATTTGTCAAGTTATGACCAATATTCACACATACCTATGTCAACAAGTGGCCGAAAATATTTAAAAAATTCAATGCTTGAAGGCAGGTCTGAACACGCTTTCGACTCAGACATAGGCAAAGTAGCCTTTTGAACGTACATACATATTTACATAGAATTCTACTCATTTGATTGTCGGGTTACGCCGGAATATTGATAGCAATTGCAAAGCTAACGAGCTGTTAAGGAAAGGTAGGACCATCGACAACCTTCTGGAACAGGACTCGGTGTTCTTACACGATTTGTATTTGCATCTTCAAATGTGACTTTTTCAATACATACATAGTATGTAATCGCGTATATGTGTCAAATGCACAGTCTCTATTTAACTATTTAAAAATACGTTCTTTGAAAACGAAATAATTTAAACTCAGATGATTATATTTGTGTGGCAGATGAAAATAGAAACATTTCTATTTCGTATGTACGTGCATCTGCTTTGTACGGAAACAAATTTAATTTGCCTTTACACGATATGTATG